GACAGTCATAGAGGCCTTTGCCAGCCTTAATCATTTTATGATTCTAAGAAGGAAAATCCAGCAAACTAAAGGACTAAAAACTCGTCATCCTTACCACTGTCCATTGCAATGTTATGGAACAAATCCTCACAGAAGCCATTCCTGAGTACATGAAGAAGATGACTGGGAACAGCCAGCATGGATCTACCAAGAGCATCGCATATCTGACTTGTCTAATTACATTTTGTGATGAGAAGTCTCCCTCAGTAAACAAAGCAAGAGTAATGTCTGATGAATACTTTGCCTTCAGCAAGGACTTTGCGACAACTTCTCTTGGTCTTTTTTAAGTCAGACTGGTGAGATACAGGCTCAGTCAGTGGGTGGAAGCTTGGCTGGCTTGCTTAGCTCAGTGTATTGATCAGCAGTACAGAGTCCAGGTGGCAGAGACACCTCTCAGGGATCGATATGAAAGCCAGGACTATTTAATGGCTTTATTAATTACCTGGGTGATGGGATGAAGTGAAGTCTGAAATATACAGCTAAGGGAAAAAAAAAAAAAAAAAAAAAAAAAAGATTATTGTATTTCCTGCAATAGGAAATATACAGAGACAAAAATAATAGGCCTTTGTGAAAAGAAGAGGCTTTCGTTTAGAAATTGATTTTGGAGTAAATAACAAAATTGAAGTTGCAGTAAAGAAGGGCGATGCTCTTCTGCACTACTGATGATATAGACTATTTAAAATGAGAAAAAAAAAAAGGAAAGAACTTATTGTGGTTACAGTGATCAAGTCAAAATTGCAAAACCATGTTCAAAGCCTAGCCTTCTGACTTGAAGAGTTCACTGACTGTAAGACTAAAAGGAGAACGTGAAGAACTGAAGGACAGATTTCCTGAGTCCAGCCACAGGGACTTCTGCTCACATGAAAACTTTGTCAGTGACACTGTACAAAGTTACATGAAACCATTCAAAATATTCTGGTGGAGTATCTATTGGACAACAGTGCTTCCAAATTCTGAGATTTTCTGCCTTCATCTGACCCACCTGCATTATCCACCTCCTACTTAGATACATTAGAATAGGGCACAGTTCAATTTTTTCATCCTTTCCTGGGTGACTGTTGCTAAATAGACACATTCAGGAAATAGTCTGTGTTCTCTCTTGGGGACCCTAAGTGTGGCTGTTAATCATTCCCTTGCAACGGGAAAATTATCCCCTCTACTACACCTCCAGGCTTGTCCTTAGGCCCATCAGCCACAGCTATTTAATACTGAAAACCAAACAACAAAGCTGTTGTGAATTGAGCTGTTTTTTACTGGTTGGATTTGAAGGGAAGGATTTTCTCTTGGCAATTCCAATAGGAGATACTTTCCATTTGCTGTAAATAGTCCATTTAGACTCCCTCCCTTTCCCCATTTCATTTCAGAGCTGTCAGCTAGCTTAGACATGGACCCTTAACTAGCAGACTCCCAGCAGTTCCCAGCCTCAATGACTGACTTTAATGACTTTACACAACAGGATTTTTGTAAAGTTAGAATCATAGAATTATAGAACCATTTGAGTTGGAAGGGACACTTAAAGGCCATCTGGTTCAACTACCTTGCAATGAAAAGAGACACCAACAGCTCAATCAGGTGCTCAGAGAACCAGCCAGCCTCACCTTGAATGTCTCTGGGGATGGAGCATCCACTGCTCTCTGACAACCTGTTCCAGTGTCTCACCACCCTTATTGTAAAAAACTTTCACCTTATATTCAATCTAAATCTCATCTCTTTTAGTTTGAAACTGTTTCCCCTTCTCCTATCACAGCAGACCCTGCTAAAGACTCTGTCCTCTGCTTTCTCATAGCCCCCATTTAGATGCTGAAAAACTACTATCATATATCTCCCCAGGGCCTTCTTTTCTCCAGGCTTTCCAGCCTGAAAGTTGCTCTGAAGCTCAGCAACCGCCATTTTAATTTCTGTTTTGTTGTGTTGATTTCCTGCTGCAGTTGTTTGGATGCATTTTATTTCTGGGTTCCTGGAAAGAGTGAAAAAGTGTGTAAGGATAGTCAAGCTGGCAATCTTTCTGCCACTGCAGAACATTCATCATACAACAGGAAAAACAAAAGTGAACTCATGAACTACTAATAGTTATGTTGTCAGCGAATTGTGACTTAAGAATCTGTGAATTGACTCCTTGACATCTTTTAGGCGCATGCACAAGCATTTATGGAAGAGCAGGAATAGAAAAATGGTAATTGCTTCATTACATACGTACACAGATCACCTTTTTTGTTTGAAGTCTGAACGTGAGCAACTGTAGTGGTGAAAACTAAAGGTACATTCAGCTCAACACTCCATTTTTTTGTACTGTAACCTGGTAGAAGGATGTGCTCAAGCATTTGGCAGGCAGCTTCAGAGAGCACCCTGCTAACACTGAGATCTCTGGCTGGAGGTATGTATAACCTGTATGATAAAGAGCCCTCTTTAGATTTTTCCTTCATGAATTCACACAATCCTTGAAGAATCCCTGTTAAATTGGGTAAGAAATGTGGACGCCTCCTCTAATATTGATTGTCCATGTTGCTTTTCTCTTGTTTTTTAAAGCTGTACTCAATTTTTACACAGTTCCATAACACAAAAATCTCATTCCAGACTGATGAGTTTGGGGCATAACATTCTGTATGTAAAGCTAGAACTGATTTTTCCCCTTCAAGTAATCACCTTAAGTTGTACCACCTTAGGTTTATCTATTTAAAATTCCATCTGCCATTTCCAGAGCCGTTATGACCTCTTTGCACTATCTTTGCAAGAATTTCTCCGCTATATATAGTCTCCCTTTTTACACATATGTTTTTAGATTTCTACAGGCAAAATACCACAGGCCCAATTTAGTCCCCTGTAGGACTGACTGGTGTCCTGCCACTGTGGAGAACACTGATGATTTAAGAGCTTTAGATGAGGGACTGTGTTGATTCACATCAACTCTTTTTGGTACATAGGTCCATAGATTAATGTACATCCTTTACATAAACACTGTGCTCTTCTACTTCATTATCTCTTTGCTAATGATTTGATTTGAAGGAAATCTTTTGGCGTAGGGCCATAAGGAAGCCTGCTGGCATAGGATCCTTCCCAAGTGTCCCCATCATGAAAACAGATGTTAATAAAAAAAGGAAGATTTTTCTATTAAAGTATGAGGATCTCTTAATTAAAGATCTTAGGTCTGATTTGCCATACTTATTTCACACCAAGACTGGTAAAACATTACCTTACATGTTTTAAATAAAGCTTGAACAAGTCCAACACTTGTAAAACCACGGTGCCTGGCCATTCTTGTTTTTCTCCACAGCCACCTAAAATTCTTTGTTTCAGTATTTAATTTTCCTGCAGAGCCATCATCCATTTTGCCTTGCTTTGTACTGGAAACATAGCACTGTAATTCAAGTGATTTAGATGGAGTTAATTCCAATTTATGTCCTGTGAAGACTGAGTAACCTGATGCACGTAAAATGATGCACAGAATTTGAATGAAACCTTTGAATTTGACAGATTTTCTCCATCCTAAAAATTGGACTGCAGTCGAACTGAAAAACTGTGAGTGTGTGTGGTTAAATAATGCTCAGTGGAAGTCACTGTGGTTTGCAGAGCCACTGCTAGAGCTATTTCAGGGTCAGATAACATGGCACGTCTTTGTACAAATTGCAAATGCCAATACTGAACAGAATACGATCAAATCAAGGAATGTCACTGCATGATATAAAATTTACAAATAGCCTTTTGCTGTATTTCAAGCAGCCTCAGATGATCACACTGTAAACGTGAAAGCCAAATATTCTCTTTTCCAAATATCTTCTTTGCTTTTAGGGCTTGGAGTGTCAGATGGGTAAGGTGGATTTGTTCTATTTCAAGGATCAGTGCAAAGTATTGTCAGAACAGGTAAATGTGGCAGTGAGTTTTCCAATTAATATGAGTAATAATCGTATCTTGGAGCCTGTGTCCAGTAGATTAGCATTACAGAGACAAATGAGTGGTAAAGTGCCAGGGATTTACCAGGCGCATTTCACTCTATGGTGCCTCACAGGTTTATAACAAAAATAGTGTTTACCTCTGTTAGATAACTTCTGGAAAAAAAAAAGATGTCTTTGTATGCTCTCTTTTACACATTTTAAAGCTTGATGAATCATTAGGACTAATCTAGGTTTGAAGGAGACTTTTTATTACCAGCCTTGCTAGTCTGATATATGTTGCAGTTGTGAACAAGAGCATGTGTGCCATAAGATCAGGTTGGAGGAATACATTTCTTTTGGGATTACCATGGAAAAAATCACGTAGCAGTAAAGTCCAATTTGAGTTCTTGTTGTAATACTCTCTATGAGAAAGGAAATATTACCAATAGATGGCACTGTGATTCTATGACTCAGGTGTTATTTATGTCTGCAAAGTGTCGTAATGCTATTTGTATATGATGCTTATTAATTTTAATCTCACTGTGTGACATTTTGGGGAAATTTATATAATTGGTTTATTACTATTACGCTGTTTCTGGGACTCAACATTTTAAGCTATATGTATTTGTACAAAAAATGCATCCTTTGTCATCAGGAGTGCTATTTTAGAAAAAAAAAAAAGAATGATTGCAATGGCTCCTTGTGGACTGCAGACTACTACAGGGATGGAATTAAATTTCACAACATGTTTTTTGTCTTTGCCAGTTCAGTGAGTGCTTTAACACGACCTTCACTTTCAGCAGATATTATACTATGTACATATAAGGGGTGATTAAACCCAACTAAAATTCCAGGCTGGATGTGGCTCTAAGCAGCCTGATGTAGTAGTTGGCAACCCTGCACATAGCAGGGAGGTTGAAACTTGATGATCATTGTGGTCCTTTTCAACCCAGGCCATACTATGATTTTATGAAAATTACTATTTCAGACAAACCTCCAGTTTATAAAACAACTGATGGAATTTGAATATTTTAATCTGCTTTATGAGCAGTGGGATCTGGCAAAACAATAAAGCTTTAGAACACCGTTTTACATTAGCATTTACAAAATACAGCAAACATTTTTCTCTATGTATTTACATAAGCAAAGATACAAGTATTCAAAATAGAATGCATCTCACCATTTGCCAATAATTACATAAGTACAGTGCATGATCAGCTGGATGGGATCGATACTTAGGATGCTTTACCCTGAAGTGTATAAAGTATGCACACCAGCTTAGGAGATACATGGTGAGCTTCATGTCTTTGGGCATTTCTCAGATGCAGTCTCAGCAGTAATAAAATGTAGAACTGCTTGAAAAATTGTCAGTTAAAGCATTTTTCAGATGCAGCAGTTCTGTTAGATGTGGGTGTGACAGACTGACTCATCATGCTTTTCCTGTACAGCAGGGGAAGGCCCTGACCTCTGATCTAGTCAGTGTGAATGTCTCTTTTCTTTTCTTTTCTTCTTCTTTTTTTTTTTTTCCTGGAAATTTTCACAATTTCCATTCTGGTCTGGTGCATAATGAAAACACTCACTCTTTTTTTTACAAGATGGAGTTGTTGCTCTGAAGCTGGTCATATCAAACAGTAGTGTTCGTCCCAAGCCTGTCAACAAATTCTGGTTGAAAATGGCTGAACTTTGAGATCTGGCAGCAGTATGACTTATCATTGATGACTTATCATTGCCATCTCCTGATTAACAGCCTCCTGCAGAACTGGCACGGTGGGTGCTACAAATTCGGACTTGACTCTGTCATCATCCCTAAGGCAAACCACAGAGAAAAAATCTATTACAATTTTGGTGCGAAGTGGCAGAATCGGTCCTTCCAAAACTGTCAGATATCTTCATAAGGAGCTGGAGATTGTGGTTTTCATTTGCTGCACATTCCTGGCTTAGAGAGGTTTCTTGGGCAGAAGCTGCTGCTCTCTCAATAAAGCCATCTATCTGAGTGCTAGCAGTGTTATAATCTCTGGCATCAGATATCCCCGCTTCTAACCAAAAATAAATGTTATGTTGCCTCCAGCTGTTAATTAAAGAAAAACTGTCAAGTCTCTTAGGCCCCAAACACAGGTTTTGTTTTAATAAGTGGGAAAGGATTTCATGTTCAGAGTTCTAATGAAACATCAAGCAAGTAATTGAAACCCTTTCTGTTTGCATTGAAACATTCCCTGTCAGTATTTGCAACCTGAGCAATTTCACATTGTGAAAGAGGAACAGAAGGTAAAAGGAAAGAGAGACAGCAGGCTGATTTACAGTGCCATGTGGGTGAAATGCAGATGGTAAGCAGAGAGCATCGGCAGTGGATGTGTAATGTTCAGCAGCAGCTTATTAAGAGCAGCTGAGTAGGGGAGACTGTGCTGAGCAGCAACAGGAGATATGGAAGAACTGAGCTGTGGAAAAGTGCAGGGTGCCCGTATACATTTTATGGTACACAGGTCAGCTCTGCTCCCTGACACAGATGGTCAACAGGACAAGGGCTCTCTGTCCCTTACCCTCATTTCTCTTGAAAGGACTTGAAAGAAATGCAACAAAATTGTACTAAAGGTAGCATTTCCCTCCACTTTTACTAGCACCTGTGTTTCCTTTCCCCTCCTTCTCGGGGTATTTTGATCAGTATTCCTCATTTGAAGGCAATCTGGTTTAGTGCCAGATCCAGAGCTCCCTACTCACAGGACTTAGGTTTTATTGCTCCCTACCTTTCCCCTGGAGTTCTCAAGGGTGAATTCTCAAAACCATCTTCCATTTGCAGAGAGGAGATGTCTGGGCACCAGGAGGTTCTGAACACTGTGTTCTGTGGGGTACCCTGGAGTGATGCTGGCTGGATAGTGTAATAAGAGCTGGTGGTTGACCTTGGCTCAAACCTGCTGATTTAGGGTCTGTATCAAACTCCTTAACAAATACTGTTAAGTGGGTTAACTTAACCCACTGTTCCCACCTGATTCGTAGCTGTCCTTGTGCTCAGCTATGTTTTGCAGATTCCCCATGAAATCCCTTCTCTGCCTGTGTGGAGCTGTGAGCTTGCACTCCTCTTGATGTGCTATGAAGGAATTGGGAGGGTATAGAGAGGGAGAAACAGTGAGCTGATTTTTCCTTTTGCTAAAGCTCTTTTGCTTTGATTCTGGTGTCCGAATGTTTGCATCAGTCATCTTGGTGAGCACAATGTATGGTGTACCAGTTGATATGTCACGCGATCCAAAGGTCCCAGTTTTTGGGTGATAACCATTAATGGCCACACGCCCATGAATGACATGTTGTGACCTATCCCATCCTATCCATATTCTATGGAGGAAACTGTCCCCAAACCCCATCAGATTTAGTTAACTTACTGGTAACAGGTAGAAGAATAATAAAAGTGGCTGCTTGGAAATCAGCCGAACAACCACTCAAGGTTTAGTCTTCTTTTACCACAGAATTCAATATTTTAAATTGAAGGTCTTCCTTTTCTGAGCCAAACCCTGCCGGATGAATAAGATTCGTTTACCTCCCCTTCTTTACCCTGGTGGATATTTAATTCTTCTACAGAAACTGATCAGCTTCAAGAGAAGGACTTGTTCAATGATGAAGGCATTGGAGTTTGGCTTCTGGATAGGTAGTACTATTTTTAGGTAGTACTATTTTTGCAGATTGGACAGGATCTGAAACTGGAATGCATCCTACTTATGACCGTAAAATTCATGTAATGAATCAAATGCTTGGACTGAAGTTTTGATGCAACGTTTGTGCTTCTGCTCTCCAGCACAGTCCCACTAACTTTAATTAAAATGTCCACGATGCCTGAAAGTCATCACACAACATTATTCCAGAAAATGTATTTGATGTTCTTTATGTAATGCGTTCTGCCCTTGGAGCTGTGCGGGTGAAATATGGTGCTGTTGATAAGTCCTGGTATTTTAAAGTGGGCCCAATTTGCCCAAACGTATTTCATTAAGGCTGAGTCCTAGTAGTGCAAGCTACCTATCATTCCTGAGCAATCTACCATAACAGCAAAACAGCGAAACCAGGGAAAAAAAATTTGAACAAGTAGAAGGTTTTGAATAATTCTGACTCTATGAGCACAAAAAAGAAATCTAGAAGGGCACCTTCATAATGGCCTTTTTAACCAAAGAGAAATGGTGGGAGAGAATCTGCTGAAACCTTTCACTAAAGGATTTTCTCATGCAAAACTTTCACTGATATTATTTAAATCAAGCTCTGCTGGAATCAAGCAGAGGCATGGAATCATTCTTGAAATTACTTAGCAGTCCTGTGCTTGATTTTCCACTCTTCTCTCACTTCACTTCCCTGTCAACAGCAGTGGGAAGGAGCAGAGAATCAAGTCCAATAATGACTTTTGAAAAAATTACTTTCAAGTTTTATGTTAGAACAGATGAATTTTTTAGAATGGAAATAAAGTGCAAGATGTGAAACAGAAGATTAAGAATGGTGATAGAAACAAGGGATCATTCAAGTATAATTTACTTCTGAAGACTGCAAATTTGAACTCAGAACAAGCGGCGGAAATGTCCATTAACATTTCAGAATGGTCACTTGGAAGAAAAAAACAGCCATAAAAACAGTTACCAAAATTTCTATATAATTCATCTATACAGGTTTTAATAGATTTTTCTTTAATGCTTTAAAACGTATTTTAAATATATATTAGTAAATTAACCATCATTTTATTTAAAGTTTCATAAAGTGCTCGTTCAGTTAATGATAAGAAAATCCCACTGCAGGAAGATGAACTAGCTGGAGCCTACCCTGCAAGGAAATCAAAGGACAGCTTAGCTTTCATTTGCAAAGAGAGGAGAAATGCGTAGGTTTCTTTGCAGCCCATAATTATAATACCAGAAATTGCATTTTTTTTTTTCTTTAAGAAATATATCCCTTATATTATTAAAAAAATAATTTTAATAAAGCCTGTGCTTAAAACAGCCAAAGTACTGTATGAAAAAAAATTGCACATTTAATACCATTCCACCCTGCTTTTCATCAACAGGATAACATGAGGCGTATGTGATGTTACTGGAGGGTTTCTCAGACATGGCTGATTTTCTTGCACTCTCAGAGCATCTCACCACGAGATGAAATTCTCAGTGTATGCTTGGGGTTGTCATGGCAGCTGCCAACAGCTGGTAGATTCACACGCCGCTGACCTTTTCGTTCCCTGGACTGATGCTTCCCTTTGAGGTACCATCCATATGGCGTATTCCGATCTTGACCATCGAATAATCCTTGGTCATCAATTTTGCCTCTTTTTTCAAACTCTTCATTTGAGCCAGGTGGAGCTGGCTAGAATTATACGCAAGCGCTGGGATAGTATTCACTAAAATCAGCTGGAAAGGTTTCTTCTCCTCCTTGTAGCGACACTGAATGTAACGAGAGAAAGCTGAGCGGTAGGTCTTATTGAACAACGTATACACGAGTGGGTTGACGGCTGAAGAAAGGTACCCAATCCAAACAAATATGTTAAGTAGCCCATCAATGACTTCTTCACTGCACGACTCCTTACAGATTACAGACATCACATTGGTGATGAAAAACGGGCACCACATCACAACAAACAGAAAAAAGACAATGCCAAGGACCTTGGAAGCCTTCTGCTCATTGCTGATGGATTGCATGGTTCTCCTCCCAGAGGTCCCCATGTCCCTGTTCAAAGAACGCTGGAAGAGTTTCTCTGAAGAAAGGGAGCTCTGAGGGAGGAAACTAAAAGAAGCAAACTTGGTCTTCGGGCCAACGTCATTCACGCACAGCATGGCTTCTTTCTGCAGTGACTTGATAGTTAAAAAATAAGTGACCACCATGATGGTTAGAGGGATGAAGAATGCCGCAAAGGAGCCTACTAGCACAAAATTATCATCTGCAAGAAGGCAGTGGCCTTTCTTAAACACTTTGGAGTCATCTTGTAGTCCAAAGACAGGGATAGGCATGGAGATACCTGAAGGTGGTTAAGAGAAAGGGAAGGTTAAACACAGAAACAAAAAAATACCATTTTCCAATCTTTAAGAAAAATTAAACAAAACAACCTTAACTGTACACAGATTATTTCTTAGAGTAATAGTGATAATATTAAAGAAATAGTAGTTACAGAGCATAAATGATTGCTAGCAGGTAGAACCATGATTGACAGATGTCCCAAGGCAAACTCATTTTAAACAGGGGCAGGGAAAATTTTGTATTTTAAGTTTTGGTAGCAGCACGATACAACTCCCATCCTTGGGCCACTTTTAATGGGGCCATGCTAAGAAAGGATGCAGTGTGAAATGTTGATCTTGTGGATTCTGAATCTGGTGGTTTGTGCATTCGAGGACCCCAGCAAAGAAGAGCAGGTGAAAAGCAGTAATGGCATTACACAGGATTCTGCAGTTACTCTAATCTCCATTCCCTCTCCCATACACCTAAACTCATCCACTAGTAAGATACGTCTCTTCCACCAGACTGTCACATAACACCTGGTGGCAACAAAAGCATAAATTCTTATTCTTTGGTCTTGTCCCCTTGCAGAAATCTCCACACTTGACCTTTGGTCCTACTGCCTTGGCAAAGGCTTCTCTCAGCTGTGATCAAGATGGTATCCTGTCTTTCTTTTCCAAGGTCAGAGTTAAGAGTTGTCTTATCTCGGACTGTTTTATTGTTATTATTATTATTATTATCATTATTATTATTATTTTTGAATGAGGATTAAAAGTGTCCTTAGTACTGTAAAATGCTGATTTTAGGAGGAAAGATATATATATATTTTTAGCAGGTCTGAATGTAATCATCCGCTGGGTTATTTTCTTCCCTCCCTGTAATCTCCATACAGTTGACAGTCTAAATGCTAAAAAACTTTCCATGGCAACAGCCAGAGGAAAGATGGGGACAAATTAAGCACTGAGAGACATGGATATGAGACAGCCTGAGAAGCAGTGCACCCTGCAGAGTGTCAGGATCCCTCTTGGGTACTGCCAGCCATCTACCGCAGTCTGCCCTCTGAAAACACAGCCCCAGGGGCATCGACAGCAGCATGAACCTCATCTTTCCCTGGAGTTTTTGCTGTGTTCCTGCTCTGTAAGGAACAGCAAAGCCAGGTGATGAAGTCCTTTCTCCTCACTCAAGTCCACTCAAACATTTCCTTGGGGACTTCTGCATATGCTGCTAGTGCCCATCTGAAATTGAACAGCTGCTGTTTGTTGTGCGTCTGTTTTGTGGTTGTGTTTTTCTTTCCTCCCCTCCCCCCAGATGGATGCTGTCTCTTCAAGAGAGGCAATATTCAGCCAGCAAAAGGATGATGTGACATGAAGACAGCAAAAGTGAAGTTGTGATCGTACAGCCCTGCTTGGACAAAAGCAGCTGGGAGTCCAAATCCTGTGGAAAGTCAGTGTCATTCAGGAGCCCCTCTGCATCTTCATGAGAAACCCTGGGTGTTTGGCTTTTAGGGAAAAAATGAATTAAATATTTTGTGATCTGACTGACATGACAGCATGATACTGTGCCCTCCCTTGTCCCTTATGTGTCCCAGAATGTCCTTTCTGTTTCCCAGATGAGTCCTGACATTCGTCTTCACACCACCAGCTCTTAAATGGCACCTGCCTTCTACGTCCCTTCCTCTTCTTCTTCCAACCCCAGTGCACAAACTGAGAGTCCTGTGAAAGCATGAGCTGTCTCTTCATTTCATGCATTAACAGTGCCAACAGATCTCCAATCCTACAGGAAGGCTCTGCAGTTCAGGCACAACACAAAACAATAATTATAGTAATAATATTAAGCTGTTGTTCTCTTCAAATGTTCCATTCTTCTGGGGCTTCTGTAAGGCTCACTCTTTTTCTAAGCAGTGTAGCTTATTTTATCTGCACAGTTTTGCAGTGAGTCATGGCAGTGCCTTTGGCCATTTTACAGGAGTACCCTCCTTATCTGCCCAGGGCAGAAACCAACGAAGAGCCTGCGGTATTGCTTTTTCTATTTCTGTTTCAAGGCTGCAGAAGCTTACATGCTTGAACTTGAGCTTTGAGAAGGCAACATGTGAGATGCAAACTTGCGCTCCCAGGGCGAGGAAAGCTTCAGCAGCTCTGGGAAGCATCTTGCTTAGAAAAGCTGAAGTCTCAAAATCACAGAAACACAGAATTGTAGCAGTTAGAAGGAACCTCTGGAGATCATCAAGTCCAACACCCCTGCTAAAGCGGGTTCCCTACATTAGTTGCCCTTTGGCTGATGGCACCAAGGGAGAGGTCACCCGCAGGTGCCACGCTGCCCAAATAGTTCAAGGTGATGAACACCTCTCAGGCAAGCTGCAAATCCCCCATTTATTTTATGGGAGGAGATGAAGGGATACGGAAAGCACCATGTTCCTAGCAGTACATCTCAGCTGTGTGGAAATATAATGCTACTCAGAGCAATACCACAGGTTTTCCTTCCATTTCTGCCCAACACAGATAACAGCAGGGCTGGTTTTTTTTTTTTTTTTACAGTTCATTCAAGGACCTAGTGTGAGCTGCAGAGATAAAATAAGCAACGATATTGGCAGAGTAAAAAGATGCCTTTCATTACTACGAACCTTATGGTTCAGCTGAATCAAGAGTCATGGGAGAAGAGTCAGCAGCACTAGAAAGAGGAATATTTTAGTGTAATTGAAAGTTTTTTCAAGGAAAAGGCCAAAGTCAGTTACAACTCCTCACCCAAAACACTAGGGCAGCAATTCTCCATCTGCTTTGTTTTGCTGTGAGCATGTTCTGAAGAGCTAGAATCTCACATCCAGATTTCTGGCTTAAAAATGTGACCGATTGGAAATGAGCTTCAGCTTGTAGCTGGAGTTTTCATGTCTCCTTGTGATTCCTTCAAGTGCAAAAGAGATGTTCACAGCAGAGCTGTAGCAGTTGCTGATAGCCCTACAGCCCTACAGCCACAGGTAGTTGGCCACTGTGAAATCTGAAAATACCAGAGACGCCACAGCTTGGTAGCAGGGAGCACTGACAGTTGTAAGCTGTTTTTTGTGTACTTACTAGTCCAGATGAGGGATCCTACAAGTGATATTGTGGCATTCTTGTGTGGAATAAATTAATTTCCAGCCCAACTTTTTTCATATCTTTGGGGACTAAGCTTCTTCTCTCCTAAATGAAATAGAGTTTGTGCCTTTTTGATGAGTGGCATGAAAATGGCAAATGTGCCCCAGTGAGGACAAAAAATTCAGTGGCAGTTGTTCTTAAAATGTAAATAAAAAGAAACTTCCATGTGCATTCCAAGTTCACCAATCTGAGGGGGTTTTTAAGAGGTATCACACGTGGCCATGAATGTCAGCCACATACTACTGAGGTCTGGACAAGATTGAACTCATAGTGCAGACAGAGATAATAAAAGCTCCCAGCCTATGCTTTATTCACGCATTCATTGATAAGTGAAAAATTTATGCTGATTCACCAGTTAACTTCATAATAAAAGGCACAAGGAAGCTCTTGGTACAGAATGGGAGCATCCATTCAAGCTCTGGAGGTACGTTAGCTACTGCATTTCCAGTTAATACTCCCACTTAAATCAGAACATTTTCCTTTGTGGACAAACCCTAAATATTATGTACCTCCAGTATAAGATGATTTATTTATACAACTTGATTTATACAGAGGTGGCTGTTTCAAACTCGATAGACTTTAATAAACCACAAGACAGAACAAAAACAGTGAAGAAGGGTAATAAATCCTGTATTAAAACTCCACCATTTGGGCACAACTTCAGAATGACAAAAGGCTCTTAAGAACACCAAAGGTTGAGAAGTAAAGCAATAGCATCCTTCCTGTTGTTCTCTCCAAAAGCCTGGTAAAACTGACAAAAGTTGATTTAGTGGTAAACACTGCTGGCTTGCAAATCTTCAGAGGTGCACAGCAGCCATAAAACCTCTTTAAGTGGACAGCTAAACTAGGTTTGACACTGCCTTGAGCTGCTGAGATTATAATGAATCAAAGCCAGAATATACAACATGCCCAGAAAACTGACAAACCTGGGCTACCTAGGGTGAAGAGAAGGAGGGGTAGTGAACATACAATGTCAAGGTTCCATTCATAAAGTCTCCTTCAAGCAGAAACTGTAAATCATGCTGCATGTCTCATTTTGATTGATTTGAATATAAATGAGCATTATTACGCACTCTAACAACTGTCCAAGGAGTAGGAAATACCTTTAGAAATGTCACTACAGGATCTCAACAAAAGTCAGCACCTTTGTTCACCCCTGCATGAAAAAGATACGAAACCTTCCCAGTTGATTCAGACGTATCAAGGGCCAAATCCTGCAGCACTGCTTTGGGGCAATGTGGTCATCACATTACTTTTAATATTTGGGACCAGAACAGTCACACAAAATAAGATTTATTTCTTTGATTTACGCGTGGATGTATCTGCTTGCTCCAGGAACAGACCCCAGGGAATGACTTCATGGGGGGACTGTAGGGGAACCATGTCTTCCTCTGCACATCAAGGATGTAAATGTGTCTGGATCTTATATCAGCTACCTGTGCACTTCCATTTACACATTCACAGGAGAGCCACGCAGCCTGGCTTAATGTCTCTGCTTGACACGTGGAACCCAAGGAGGTAATTGTTTCCCTAGACCTGCAAACACTTAGCTGATTTCTGCATGCATCTGAAAGTGCTGTTTCCCAAATGACTCATCTGAAGTCATGACAAACCTTTCACTGTTGCAGTGTCATTGCTGCCCAAATTGTCCCAGACATATTGCTGATAGCATGGTTGTGCAGTTTGCTGGTGGGTGGCAATACAGAAGCAGAAATTTTCACCAGGGAAAGAATATGTTGAAAAGCTGTGGGTATTTTGGGAATCGCCATGTGAGTCTCCATGTAACTCAGCATGAAATCTCTTCCTTTCTTAGTCAGGGTTCCCAGAATCTCCAGCAGGAACTTCTCCTTGGCAGATACACATGGTGGTGGGGATGGGGATGGATGAGGAGCTTTCT